CAATAAATTTAATAAATTTAATGTAAAAGTGTGGTTTAAACACAAAAGCTACATATCCTAGTTATAGCTAGCATCAATGCTGGAAGCAAAATCAATTTTACTTTTGAGAAAACAAACATTTCAAAATCAATTTTATACCTCTAAAATTGCTTTTGGCTATTCCAAAATGGAAACCAAACATACACTCACTGAGCTATGTCATATGTGTCTTAAGATGAAGGGATAAGTTGGTCCAATGGTGATTGGTGCTGGACTTAGTAGGAAGGACTACGGTTCGATCTCTCGCAACTGCGATCGGAACCTCCGAATAAGACTATACCGGTGGTGAAAAACAAAAAAAACAAAGATGAAGGGATAAGTAATTATTTATGTTTATCCCTATACAATTATGGAGGTTTACTCTCCAATTGTTCCTATTTTTCTTTTTCTTAGGCAATGTTAGTAGTTAATTTGTTATAGGGGAGAGTAAAATCACTAAAATGTTGTTCCTAGTTTTCAATTTTTTAGGCAATGTTAGTAGTTAATTTGTTAGATGGGAGGGTAAAATGTTAGTAGCTGAGATTAAACTTTGGACCTCATGAATATAACTCCGTCGGTGTCACATTTTCAATGTCACATTTTCAACCATGCTTTCTATATTGCAGATGGTATGTTCGTGTTGTTTTCTCTACGTATTAAGGTGGAGGAGGATAATTTCTTTCACATCTGGTGAAGCAGCAATTATATCAGAAAACTCAAAAATATTTGTGTCATTGAAGACTTTGAGGCACACTTTTCCTATTGCAGGATCATATTTACTTTATATGGTATGTCCTTTTTAGGTTAAAGTCTTGATTGTGATTTATGTTCTCCTATTATTTCACTTATTCCTGTGTTTCCCCTTGAAAGTTAGTCACTATGGAGTCTGTTCGTGGAGTAAATGTTCCAATGTATACCACCCTTAGGAGGACCACAGTAGTATTTACAATGCTTGTGGAGTATATACTGGTGCGGCAACGGTATACGCCTTCTATCATTTTCAGGTAAATTACTTTCTTTCCACTGCATGGTGTGACACAGATTCATATCATGTTCTAATCAATCTTTGATGGGTCAATGCATCTGAAATTTTGGTGAGCTTCAATAGTGACAAGCCGCAGGTTTGGAGTGTTTTTCAACTTGGGAAGAAAGGAGAGGAAGGAAAGGGAAAGTAAATAATCTGCTTAGGTAGTAGTAGATTGTTGGAATATTCCAATTTGGTAAGAATGGGAGAAGGCATCCTTGAGTATTATGTTATTCATTTCTGTTAGGGGACTCGCTGAGGGTAGGCGGGGAGAGAGATACTTCTCTTCTCTGAGAAGAACAGCTTTGGTTTTCTTTTTAATAAGCTTAGACTCTTTTGGTGATTAATCTATTAAGTTTCACTCTGCTCTACCAATGAGCATCTCCCTGATTCCTTCATTTAACTGAAATTTGTAAGGTTGTTATCAGTGTTGGCTTGATTGTCTTTGGTGCATTTATCGCTGGAGCGCGGGACTTATCTTTTGATGCCTACGGTTATGCCATTGTTTTCCTGTCAAACATCGCTACAGCTATATATCTTGCAACGATAGCTCGTGTTGGTTGTATTATAATCTCTCTCTATCTCTCTCACACACACACACAAACACTATTAACATTTAAAACTCTTTCCCCTTGTAATTAGCCTGCTGTTTCTCAATACTAAATGTCTTTTTCTCAGGAAAAACTAGTGGCCTTAATAGCTTTGGTCTTATGTGGTGCAATGGTAAGCCAACAGACTGTGTCAAAACGGCCCAGTAAAGTTTCAAAAATGTTTTTTGGATGAATGAATGTCTGCAGAGTTTTAGCTATTTCTGATGTCAAACAATTTCTCTGTTGTGTTATAGGTATCATATCCGGGCCACTTTTGTTTATTTGGACATTAGTTCGGGGTGACTTGACGATGACTATTAATTTTCCTCATCTTCTTTCTCTTGGTTTTATTGTATGTTCAGCTTGAACTTTTCTCCTTTTACCAAGTCGTAGCAATTATTCTTGGATTTCTTCCGAAAGAATTTGTATTTAGTCCTTGGGCTGTAAACTAGTAATCTAGGAATCTTTCTGGTGCAAGTCATGTAAGGGTAAAAATTAGATATCCCCTCCCCTTTTTGCACTTCGCCAGCCCCAGACGTGTCTATTTTAATGGAAAAATTTGCATGTGTAAGAAAAGAATGTTCCGTGGAAGTTTAGCACATTTTAAAACCACATGACTACAGTATAAATAGGCCAGACTAAACGAGATATGTAATAGCCGGAATATTATTAATATTTTCTTCAGACTTGATTAATCAACAAGTGTATGTAGTAATCCAGTTTTTTTTATCATGATTTTTACTTATATAAAACACATAAAATTAAGTTCCTAATATATATGATATATGTTGATCTAGAAGGATCTATCCCGTTTCAAACCAGTTAAAAAAACTTATCAGTTGTCTATCATTGAAGAGTTGTAAACATTTTCGCAAAGATATAGTCTTGGTTATGGGGAAAAACTACTTTTATTTTTCTATATCAATCTGCATAAATTTTTTAATTCAATTCCTTCTTAGTCTATCATTGAAGAGTTGTAAACATTTTCGCAAAGATATAGTCTTGGTTATGGGGAAAAACTACTTTTATTTTTCTATATCAATCTGCATAAATTTTTTAATTCAATTCCTTCTTAGTTTTGATATTTTGACAAGTTTGCAATTTTTGTGGAGACAGGTTGTTTTTCTTTTATCCTGCATCCTCGCATTCTTCCTGAACTACAGTATCTTCCTGAACACAACTTTGAATTCAGCTCTGACACAAACAATTTGTGGTAATATGAAGGTTTGTTCACTTGCAAGTTGTTTTTCCTTAAATGTATGATGCACCTATCATTCCAGGTTAGCATAGATGATGTGCCTTTTCTCTCAGGGTGTTATCATAGTAGTTAACTATACTGTATATCTTTTCTCTGCATGTATAATTTGGTATGAAGTGTAGAAGAGTCGTTTTTGATTGATTTAGTTAGCGATTGCTACATTGGAATTCTTTGATATCTATTAATTAGGACCCAGTTCTAAGGCATATCACCCTATGCTGGTTTTAATTGGATGAATAATGTATCCTTCCATATGATGCCTTGGATATGGAATCCAATGTGAATTTATTCGGTCTATGAAAGTGCTTTTTATTTGTCGTTTCAGATCATTCTACAAATGTATCCTTTTTATGTGTAAATTGATGATTGTACGAGATTTTTTTCGTGTGGACTCAAATCTTCTGAATTGGTGTCTAGGATCTATTTACTATCGGCTTTGGCTGGATAATTTTTGGTGGGCTACCATTTGATTTTGTAAGTGCTCTTGTACCGTCTATCCTTTACTTATCACTTGGGTGTACTGATAGAATGTCTGGTCTTTTTGGTTGCAGTGGAATGTTATTGGACAATCTCTCGGGTTTGCAGGTTCTGGTTTATATGCCTATTATAAACTCATTGGCAAATAGCTTGTCGAGTTCTTTGGTTGGCGCCTTTATGAATTTAGAAACATCATTTGCTTCAGTTATCTGATCTTACTACATCGATCTAAAAAGCAGAAGAATCTGAGTCGACCTTAGATCTGTTGAACTTGTGATCAAGCTAATCTGACTTATTAGATTTTGCCAAGTGAGAAATGGACATGAGCTAAAATTACCAGGGATTGGGACAATCTATGATGTGCTGGCTTCAGCGTGTTCAAACTATTATTCACCTAACAATTAATTCACTAGTGCTTATGATGAATTCTGAATTTATTAGGAATTTCCATGTATCTATTTTCTCTCTCTTTTTTTAGGTCCATTTTTAGGTCCAGTATTAATATCAAACATTACTCAGATACTTTATGCTACTTGAGGTAATGCTCTCAACCTATATACTTGTTCATTTTATGCCTCATACGATGCAGTCAAGCGTAGTTGTTAAGCACGAGATCTGAAATAAGATCGGTCGGCTTATGAAAGTTCGTAAAATTTGGGTAGTTAGCACAACAAGCAAGATCCCACCGAAGGGAAAAACATTAATTTCATACATATATAACAAAAACATAAACATGAAAAACTGTAATACATGCAAAAAAAAATAAAAATAAAAAAGTGTCAGGGCATTTAATTTTATGATCTTGTTTCAAAAAGCCTCGATCTTGACTATGTCAACAACAAAAATAATCTTTCTCTGATTGTAGTACTCTTAGACATCTTTAACATATAAGATTTTACGATTCATTACTCGTACGGACTACATAAAGATTTGTGTTTTCGAAAGTATGTTTTTTTCAAAGTTTCATGTTCAAAATACAAACAATTTTTGTGTGAGCAAAGTCTATACGGAGAGTATGCTTTTTTCAAAGTTTCATGTTTGAATTTCATTAAATACAAACAATTTTTGTGTGAGCAAAGTCTATACAGAATTTTGCTCTAGTTGAATAAATAGTATAATTAGTTTCTTTGAATTAACTGGTCGTAAAATCAAACATAAAGATTTAAAAAAAAAATACTATGAAAAATAAGCAAGAAATGTGATAAACTGCACTTTCTAAAAGAAAAACATACACCCAAAATGAGAAAATAAATAATATACTTTTAGTATAAAATAGTTTTACACTGTCAACCAATTACAATCATGTGTTTAATTATACTTTATTTTTATTTTAAATTTTTTTTAATAACATGAAAATTTATTGATTTTTTATTAAAACGTGTAAAAGAATTTTACACGACTATGAATATTATTCTCATTCAAAATTCCAAATAAATATTAAAGAGTTACTTATTCTTTTACATGATCAATATTTGTATTTAAATAAAAAAAACATAAAAAAGCGGCAATGAAAGTAAAAAGCGGTTATAAAGATTCGAGCCCTTAACGTAACCGTCATCGGCGAGATTTCAGAAAACTTCCATTTCCAGAATGAATCCCTTCTTCTTCTTCTTCACTGAACACAACTGAGATCATGAACGAATCGATTCTATCAAACGTCAGCCCTCGGCGATCTCTCAGCGTTCAACTTTCCTCCCTGATGATCGTCGACGACAGCCTATCCTACGGCAAACTCCCTTCCCAAAACCTCACCCTCACCATCCTCAAACTCGATTCATCTTCGTTCCGTAAACTACTAATCTCTCTCTTTTTGAACTCTTGTTCGAATTCAATTGCGTTTCTTCGATCTTGAATTGATCTGAAGGTTTTTGATTGTTTCAGAAGTTGAAGTTGCTAAAACAGCAACTGTTGCAGAACTCAAGGATGCGGTAGAGGCGGTGTTTAGACCGGAGAAAATATCGTGGTGCGTTTGTTGATTTTGCCGTTTTTGAGTTTTTAGAAAGTTTATTGGTTGTTAGGGGTCATAATCTTGTGTTGCATTGGTTGAATATTCCATTCGATTCGGATTCACATTATGATTATTGTTATTATTATTATTATTATTATTAAGTTTCTAGTTACTGAATTAGTAATAATCTGTTGATTATTAAATGCTGAGTTATCTTTTTTTGATTTTTCATTGGTTGGATTTGTAGGCCACTTGTTTGGGGGCAATTTTGTTTATGCTACGAAGCACAGAAGTTAGTTACAGAAACGGATTATCTTAGAGATTATGGTATCAAGGACGGTGATCAGGTTAGTGACTTTGGCGTCGATTCATCGTACTTAAATTTCTCAGTTTCTGAATAAAAGGTTAATTTATAATCTCTAGTGTCTTAGAAAGGAAGGTTGATCGTGATCATATGAATCCCATGATTTTGATGTGGCTATGATACAGTCTACCTTGTATAACAAAAGGATAGTTGATTAATTTTGCACCAATTGTTTACTTTGGTTTAATTAACTAGTTCAATTCTTATAGTTATAAGTCCACTCGTTGTTGTTATTGATGATTATATAGTTTGTGTCTAACTTTTTAGGAATTTTAGTTTGAGAGATAAAAAAAAGCAATTAGTCATGCCTGAGTCAGATCATGTATATACATTGTTGAGAATTAGTCCTTAAGCAGGGATAACATAGTTTGATTTTCATCATAATGCGTTTTACTAATTTGAAGTCCATCACTGGTCATGGCTTGTGATGGGTATTTTGTTTTGATTTGTTTCTGTGGTGCAGCTTCATTTCGTTCGCCATATATCTAACGTCTGTAGTATTCAAAGGAAACCGAAGAAACGGACTGTCAATTTGAACCAACACGGGAGGTATGACGTTTTAAATCTAATTATGCAAAATAATCAGTCTTAGCAACGTCTCTATTTACCAAGTAGAAAATCGGCTCTGTCCAGTTATATAATAGTAATACCTTATGATTGTTATCTTGTATACTGAATTGATTCATGTTGGGAAAAGTCTTGAAATTATTAAAAATAAGATAACAAATCAGTAGAAATATTCAAATAAGTGACCAACTCACAGAATTGTAGTGCATGCTTTCTAAGTGATTCTCTTGGAACGTGATTTTCTTTGAAATTAAGGAATGGTAATTTGGTCACCTTACTAGTTAGAAACATTGATGGTTAATATTATAAGAATGTACCTTAGTCAGATTTATTTGTGCATGTTGCTATAATATCGTGTCAATCTAGTGCTTACACTATCTGGATGAAAGGTGCAGATCATCGTCACAAGTGAATAGATATCAACAGAAAGAAAATGGTGATGCGAACAACATTGGCTTAGATAGTATAGTCATAGAGAGTGGGAAGGTTCAGAATCACAACACAGAAGAAAATCGCGCTGGAATGGGCAAGTTAACTGGATATTTGGGAGGTATGTTCTCTGAGGCCCGGATGGCAGTTGTGAGAAGAGCTAGAATGGAAGGTGGGATTTCCAGAGGCATAGCAAGTAGTTTTAGGAAAGTTAAAGGGATTGTAGGTCAATGCAGAAAGCCACATAAAAGAAGCACATGGAAAGAGTTTTCAAGTTGATGATTTTACTCTCTAGTCAATGCGGCATTGTTATGGGATTTTTTTCTGCCACAAATACTTTGCCTCATTGTCACTGTCATATTACAGTACAGTTTGTTCATTTTCATGTACATATAACAATAAGAATTGATTTTGTCTTCAAAGCTATGCAAGGATTTGTTTGGTTTATATGAAACTTTATACCAAACTTATTTTGAGTGTAAAATTTACACTAGTGATTGGATGTAGGTAAACAATTAGTTTACACTAGTAAATAGAGATTTAAGATTTAAACAATATACACTTTTAATGGAGAATAGTTGTATAGCTAATCCAATAAAAATCTATTCATTTGTCACACTACTTCACGTGCGTGACAGATGCCGAGTCCACCTAGATTAATAAAATAGAGCTAAGATTCTCTTTGTACTAAACGTGTATCAATTGACCAACTTAAAAATTTAACCAAATGAAACAAGAAAATTGAAAGGGTTGAGAGAGTTAAGTTTGATAATGAAATCAAAGTAACTTATTTGAAAATATATAGGGTTAAATATATTTTTGGTCTTTATAAATATTTTATATTTTATTTTTAATCTTTATTAAAAAAATGGTATATTTTGTTTTCTATAAAAAATTTGTTCATTCATGCAGTTTTAATCCTTAATATTTTTTAAAATTTTGAAAATTTTGAAAATTGATTAATTATTCTTAAACTTTTAAATTTTTAAATAATTTTTTTCATGTGTTTAGAATATTATAAAATATTTCTTAAATATTAAAATATTTTAAAATTTGATTAATTAAATATGAATTTTTTAAATTTCTAAAATATTAATGAAAGTAATGAAAATCTCGACTTATAAATTTGAGTTTTTTTTCCTTTATAATATTTTAAACATGTTTGTAAAATAATCATTCAAAAATTTACATTATTTTAACAACAGACACTAAAACTACGAGCATAATAATTTTATAAGAACTAAAACATGTAATATTTTTTATAAGGATAAAAAAATTAATAATTTATAGAGATAAAAAAATATATTTAACTCTTAAAAATAACCAAACTAAGGTATTAACCAGTTATTAGGATATTGAATATACAAATAAACATTTATACTCTCTCTAACCATTATTATAAATAACTATATAAATAAGATTAAGAGAATACGTTAATTACATTAATCTTATTTTAAATTGCAACGAAACACATATCACGATCCACACATTCTAGAGTGAAGATTAGTCAAGGTAATTTAGTTAAACAATCCTCCAATCAACATTAAAATTTGAAATTTAATCAAATTGGATTTGAAATATAATCAAATTGGATGTAATTATCAAACACCTTCAATACAACATTTACTTTACGTTTTCTCTTATAATTTGGTTATCCATTAGTTATGGTTGTTATTAGTTTGCTTAAAAAATTTAACCTATAAGTAATCAATCTCACTTCAATGTATTGACTCGAATCATCAACCATACTCTTGATTCCTATAATTTTTAAAGTCAACCATTTTTACTTTTCAATCTATTGTTCATTAATACATTTTCTCCACTTTCAATTTGTTTCTGTTAGTCATCACATGATCCGTTCTTCCAACAAATAAAATAAAAATAATATGGTTACTACACTAAATATGAGGATTAATTAATATATCTCATAAGATAAATATGCGCTAGCTTTATTCAATCTGGATTTTAATGTGAATATTAAAATTACCAGACTCAAATTTGAAGGAAGCTTTGAAATTGAATCAAAGATAAACCTTTTAAGGAAATTTCTTTTCTCGTCCTAAAGGTATAATTCACATTTCTGAAAAATTAAAAATATTTTCAGTAATTTTAAAAGATGTATATATGTATGTACTATGAATCATTTTTACTAAAATTTGGTTCGGAGATGCATCTGCGAATATTTTTTGGATATATTCGAAGATGTATCTCCGAAAACATCCTTGAACCCATTTTCTAAGCGTTTTTCATTGAGGTTTAACATTTAATCATTCAGTGAAATTTTCAGATATGCGTCTTGCATGATCATCTCTCCTATATTTCGACTCCAAATCACCATTCTTGTGTTTTATCACATCAAAAGGAGCAAAAGAAGTTGTAATTTAAGGTAAAGTTCATTCATTTTATACCTCATTGTTTGCATTAATCTTGTTTTTTAGTTGAAAAATGAACGTTGAGTCCGAAGATACGTCTCTGAATTCACCTGCTATATGTTTCAGAGACGCATCTCTGAATTTGTCTGTTATTATAATTTTATAATTGTTTTTCTATTTTGGTTCGAATTAGATATGATGCACTCGGAAATATTTTCCAAAGTTGTTGTAAGTAATGATGTAAAATCTGATGAAGTGAAGGATGGTGTTAAACTTATGGAAGTGAATGATGATGTTAAACCGGTTGATGTTGAGATAGATGTTGGTCAACAATTTACAAATGAACAATTGTTTATTGCTCATGAACATATGTTTGAATGAGTCTGCATGATGGTAAAAAAATTGGGGTTTGACATTGTAATCAGAAGGTTCGACAATGGTTGTAACTGAAGGCAAGCATTTATAACCATGAAATGCGAGAGAAGTGGCACGTACGTTCCACTGATTCTAAAGTTGAAACTTGATGACACCAGATCAAGAAAATATGAATGCCCGCTTAAATTGCGCGAATACCGTAAGGTGAAAGATACATGGAAATTTAATGTGATTTCTGGTTTACATAAACATGCCTTGCAAACCGAGCTAGTCGGTCATTCCAATATATGTCACCTTAAATCGGAGGAGAAGGAATCAGTTAAAGTCGGTCATCCCATCATATGTCACCTTAAATCGAATGAAAAGAAATCAGTTAAAGCCAATCATCTAACATATTTGGAACCTCCTTCGGAACCGGTTAAAATCAAAAGTGCCCCTAAAAAGGTCAAATCGACACAAGATGACAATTCAATGAAGCAGTCTCCTTCATACTTTGAACATGTTGATTTACATTTCTCGGATTCTTCAACTTCAAAATCTCAAAAAAGTGTTTACAAGGGCGCTCACATTAGCAAACCACCTCATTCACGGTCAATGCCGAAAATAATCTTCATTGAAGAAATTCCACTTTTTATGCACAAACATATTGAACGGATTGCAAATGTTAAGGACGACGGTAATTGCGATATTCAGGCTGTATTCGGCTTGCTCGATAAAGGTGATGAGAATCACTTTCTCGGCCTCCAATAAATTTTGTAAGAGTTGACGGTACATAGAGAATTCTACTCAACCTTATACGGGTGTTTACCTCTGGTTTCGGTAAACAACGATGGTCTCTTAACATAAAGTTTACTGGCGAAATCGATCAGGGAATCTCAGTATCGTGCTTCAGTTTTCGAGTGTTTTCATAAAATATGTTAAAAAAGATTTGTTCGACTAGTGCCAAACGAGTTTATAACTTAACTCATTTCGGTCGTTCGCTTGGGTACTTTGAGTGACTAGCGTATAGGAATGTGAAAGTTTGGACCTTTTACACTATGCACTAAGTGCTTTATTTATAATACATGAAAACTAACTACTTCTGGAGGGCTTCGCTTCCTTGTACGCCACGTGTCTCTGGTAACTTCTCTCCATGATCCCACATTCTCCATTCCTGCTATCGAACCCACGTTCTCCATTCATAACACTTTGCTTTGCTAGTTATGCACTCTTTGGGCTTTTTAACGTTCTTGGGCCCATTCCATTCCTCACGAGGCCTCTTTCTGATCGACTGCATCCACAAGCCCAATTGACTACCTATGAAATTTCTTCCGGTCGACTGCTTCTGTGGTTGACTTCTCATAATTCAAAGTTCTCAAAGCACCTTTTTAGCTTTTGGTTGGATTTTAATCTGTGTGAAAAATCCTAGCCAACAACGGGAAAAAATATATTTTGATGCAATTCAAGATGCTCTTACTCCTTGTGTTAGCAGTCTCTCACCGTTTTCAAAATAGACGTGCTTCTCTGAAATAGGTCATCTTATAGCAAATGCGTATGACAGGGTGTGTATCGATCTAAAAATATATGGTTTTTCTGAGACATTTTTTCCACTTCAGAGTGGTTCACCTAAAGATCCTTTCAGTCGTATCATGTGTATAGGGTGGCTTTCAACATCACTACATTTTGTTTAGGTTTATTTAAAACTGGGGTGTCCTATATCAAATACATCGTTGGAGTGGACGACACATTCCACAAAAAAGACAAAAACTTGACTGGATCAATTTCTGGAAAGGATGAAAGAGTTCACCAAATTGAGCGAGCTTGAATGAGAATCAAATAAGAAAAAGTCGAAGAGGAACTAGTCATAGATTTATACGGTGATGCATCTTTTGATACATTTTAGATTGTAATCGATACACTTTTTTGAATGTATTATCGTCAATGATGTAATCTTGGTACATTTAACACATAAGTAATATATATTCAGTAATTATGACATAAATGTCGATTGTTTATTGTTGTACCCCAAAATTTGCCCTTCCATAATCTTCAAAGTTTTGACAAGCATCACCTCAAATGGTTTAAAGTCTACTCAAGGGCTACACAGTCAAGCATCCTCCTGAGCCAGTCAAATTAGGGTTTTGGTTCATGCAGGAAAGTTGAGGTTTTCAAGGGCTCAATCAAGTCCCATATGCTCATATACATTGTCAAACACCTACATGTCAAGTTTCAAGGCTCACAAGGTCAAGTTGCACAGTCAAAAACCCTAATTGCCTCACAATCAACTGCAGGGGCAAAATGGTCATTTGGCAGTCAAAAGTCGAAAATTTTTGTCAACATCTTATTTTGAAGCCACAATCATCATTTGATCAAGTATTGATCATGATTTCACAAGAATGGCTCAAAAATCATCAAGGTGTCAAAAGTTTATATTTTTGGACAGCTGAAAAGTCAACTGTAACTTGACCAAGGCATAACTTTTTCATGGTTCATCATAAAAATCCCATCCAATGCTCATCTTGAAGGGGAAGACATTTCCTACAACTCATCTTC